TTACAGATTGATGTCTCTGTTTTCCTGTTTTAAGTCTTTTAGCTTTGTTTTATTATTGAGAGTTCTTTATCTAGGTTGGTATCTGGCTGATGCTGTCCTGTGTCTTAGACTCTAATTGTCTGATGTTGTTGGTTCTCTAACTGGAGGACTCTCCTTAATATTTCATGTAAGATTGGTTTGGTTTCTGCAAATTCCTTCAATTTCTGTTTATCTGGAAATGTACTAATTTTGCCATCATATTCGAGAGTTTTGCAGGATATATTTATTATTCTTGGTTGGCAGGTTTTTTTCTTTTAAGGTTTTATATATGTCATCCCACTGCCTTCTTGCTTGCATAGTTTCTGCTGAGTAATCAGAGCTTAGTCTTATTGTTTCCCCTTTGTGACTTCGTTTTTCTCCAGCTGCTCTCAGGAACCTTCATCTTTGGTTTTGGCAAGTGTGATTATGATGTATCTTGGTGACTTCCTTTTTCGGGTCTACACGATATGGGGTTTGTCGAGCTTCTTAGATGGTCAGCTTTTTTCTTTCATGGTACTTGGCAAGTTTTCTCCCAACAAATTTCCAACAATCTTCTCTGTGTTTTCCATTTTCTCCATCTGTTCTGGAACTCCAATCGTGCAGATTTTTGCTCTTGATTGCGTCCCACATAATTCTTCATTCTTTTCTCTGATTTTTCCTCAAAGTGGCATCCATGGATTTGTTTTCAGTCTCACTGATTCTGTCTTCCATTGTTTCAAATTTGCTCCTAAAACTTTCTATTGAGTTGTCCATTTCTGAAATTTTGTTGTTTATCTTTTGAATTTCTAGTTGCTGGTTTTGTGTGATTTCTAATTGCTATTTATTTTGACATTTTGTTCGTGTATTGTTTTCCTGAATTCTTCTATTGCTTTGTGTTTTTGTTGATTTTGGCTGTTTTTGTTGGCTTTGTCTGTGTATTCCTTGATCTCTTACCTTATCTCTCAGAGAGCCCTAAATATCAGTCTTTTGAATTCCATATCAGTTAGTTCTACTACCTTTTCTTCTCCTGGAAGGTCATCTTATTCTTTATTTTGGTCATTTGCTGGAGCCATCTTGTCCTGCTTTGTTATGTTTTGATATTGTCTGCTGTCTCCAAGACATTAAGGTATTATTTTCTTTTATTGACTGTATGTTTGTTTGTTTTGTCCTGCTTTTTTTGTTTGTTTTGATATGTCAGGGTGGGCAGGCCAGGCATGTTTTGCTGCTTGTCTGTGGGCACCACCTTGTCTGGATGGACAGGGCAGCAACAAGCAGGGTGAGCCTGCTTCACTGTGCACTGGTTTGGCAAAGAGGCTGAGGCAGACTGGGCAGGTGCTGCCTGTCTCCTGATGTTGGTCCAGTGGTGTGGGAGTTTCCCAGCCCCTCACCAGATAGGCGAGAGTGTCAGATGGGGAGTCATGTGGGCTTGCTTCCCACTGTTCAGCACTGGTCAAGTGGTGGGGGGAAGGCAGTGCAGGCCTGGTATGGCAGCTGGCCTGAGCACAGGGGGTGCTCTAGCCACAGCAGCATGTCAGGGGCCAGTGGGAAGGGGGAGTAGCATATGGGGTGGCTGCTCTGTCTCCTGTTGGGAGCTCCATTAAGTTGCCTTCCTGTACTCCCTGTCCGGGGTCACTGCTGGCTGTGCTCCAAGATAACAAAGCTATGCCACGTTAGCTGGCAGGGGACCTCCATTTCATAGCTCTCCTCGTTCTCTGTTCTCTGTCAGTTTCTTCTTTCATTCAGTGCTTGATCTAGTTCTCTATCCCTTCATTTGATGCTCAGGGTTCCAGGACTGACATTTGTACGTGTTTTACTTAGTTTTTTTGGCCTTTGCTGCAGAGGGATGGCATAGTGCTTCTATATATAGCGCCATGTTGGCTCTGCCCTCTCATAGTTATTGTTTTTAATCACTGTATTTGAGAGCACAGACTTTTTTATAGAAGAAAAAAATAAAAGAATCAAGCAGTACCAATTAAAATTTTTTTCCACTAGGAAATTACTAACAACGTAGGCAGTATTCATCTTCAGAAAATTCATCACCCACAAAATAAAATCCAATTTTGGGGGCTATATTAATTCTTTTAACTTGTATTTTAAAATCTTAAATCTATATTTCAGAATGGACATAGTACTTCATCTGTGCCCATTTTTGATAATTTTTTCCTCAACTTAATATTTCAGCCCAAAATGCAAGCATTAAAAATTTATTTTGAACAAGAATTATAGCTTATTCATTAGAAAATATTAGAAAGTGTCTTCATAACTATCAGAGATACAGATAGTTAAGAGGGTACTTCCGTCAGTATACCCTACTCGGTGTCAAAAGGAAATGTCTATTTTTGAAATATACAGTTGTTATTATTGCAAATATCTGAAATGCTTAATAAATAAGCAAATATTTGATTAAATAAACAATGGAAATAACTGCTGGGACATACAGTTTTCACCTGGCTGTTGAGTACATTAGTATCATAGAAGCCAGTTTAGGCTATTTTAAGACTACAATTACATAGCATATGTTCAAAATTCCACTGGTCTTTCTTAACAGTCTGATAAAAACTGGAACTGATACACCTCAATGGTAATTTCTCTAGGAGTTCTGCTAAAAAAATCATGTAAAGCTAAATGAAAGCCAAATGGAGCTGGTAAGTCTTGACGTGGGCTATTTAACTGTGTTAATCTGAAAGTTTATAAATATACTTTAGGGATTAGCACTGTGCAAACCATCACCTATTAACTTGAACTCTATGGGTTTCTCTGGTTACCCAGCATCATTCTGGTTCCCTTCTTCTTGTTACAGCAGGTAAAGGCCAAGAAATGCCTAAACAATTACAAAGAAAAATGATTTGTGGATAGTATCTTATTCTTGATTACCAGCTCCTAATGTTTTTCTCATAATATTTGTAGCTATTAACAGAAAATTGTATTTCTTTTTATATTTCCACATAAAGCTTAAGGAAAAAATCAAAATGTCAGCTGTACTTAGTACCTCTTCACCTGAGGAAGACTTCAGTAAAAATTTGATGAAAACATTTGGGATCTTAGTTGTGTTTCATACCTTTCTATCTGAAAAGTCTTTTAAATGAAAAGGTTTTATTTTTTATTGTTTTCTTTACTTAGGATCCTAAGACATATAAGAAGTCAAGAAGCCACAGCCTTTCCCACAAATTACACATACCCATATTATAAAATATTGAAAATAAAATAATTAAAAATTGAGTTAAATACCTTACTACATATATTAGAATGTAGGAACTGAAAGCATTAATAGAACACAGAAAACTGCTAAAATATAATTCTAGACTTTTTAAAACAAGAAAGCCTATTATTTAATAACTAAAAGACAATACATTAGCTTCTTTGGTGGCTATTTAAATAGTTACATTGTGTCAAAGTTTCAAATACTAGCATAGAAGATTTTATCTTTTAAAAGTTCACCTAAGCACAGTTCAATAAGCCAATTTTCACTACTTTTTGAAAAAGTATTTCAAAATGCACAGTGGCAGAGAGTATCTGTCAATTCTACTGGCACACCAAAAATCTAGGTAGTAGAAGCAACCAAGCCAAACCAAATTCACCACTGTCAAGTCAATTCCAACTCACAGTGACCCTACAGGACAGAGTAGAACTGCCCCAGAGGGTTTCCAAGGCTATAAATCTTTATGGTAGCAGACTGCCACATCTTTCTCCCATGGAACGGCTGGTGGGTTCAAACCGCTGACCTTTTGGGTAGCAATCAAGTGCTTTAACCACTGCACCATTAGGGCTCCTAGTAAAAGCAAAGAGAATGTAAAATGTACATTCTGTAGCTTGAGGAGGTGGTGCTACGAAAAGTGGAATTAAGTATTTATTTTGAAAAATTTTAACAAGAGATACATAGAACACAGCAAATGGAACAAAGAGGGGATGGGATGCTTAAGCTATTTTTGTTGCTGTGTGCTGTGGACTGGATTCCAACTCATAGCAACCCTATAGCCCCACAGGGTTTCCAAGGCTGTAATCTTTATGGAAGCAGACTGCCACATCTTTCTCCCATGGAATGGCTGGTGGGTTTGCACCACCAACCTTTCAGTTAGCAGCTGAGTGCTTTAACCACTGTGCCACCAGAGTTCCTGCATAAGCTACAGAAGGGTATATTTGTGGCCTAAACCATCACCATCTATCTCTTGGCATGTATGCCAAGAAGGAAATAAAAATGGAAGACTGAATATAGAGTACTTGGTCTAATCATTAGCAAAGGTAAAGTCAAATTTTCCAGGATTATAGATGGTGTTGTTTCTTCAAAAACTGTTCTTTTTGGCAATAACAGTTCATATGGCCAACTAAGCTGAAACTATCCCCACATACTGAGTTCTAATGAGTACCTGAAAGAAAATGGCAATAGAAAATATTTATTTGCTACATAGTACATAGCACATACTACTGGAAGCAGCAGTCAGGAAATCAAAAGACGCATTGCATTGGGCAAATCGGCTGCAAAAGACCTCTTTAAAGTATTGAAAAGCAAAGATGTCACCTTGAAGACGAAGGTGTGCCTGACCCAAGTCATGGTATTTTCAATCGCATCATACGCATGTGAAAGCTGGACAGTGAATAAGGAAGACCGAAGAAGAACTGACGCCTTTGAATTGTGGTATTGGCGAAGAATATTGAATATACCATGGACTGCCAAAAGAATGAACAAATCTGTCTTGGAAGAAGTACAATCAGAATGCTCCTTAGAAGGAAGGATGGCGAGACTACTTCTTACATACTTTGGATATGTAGTCAGGAGGGATCAGTCCCTGGAGAAGTACATCATGCTTGGTAAAGTAGAGGGGGTCAGCAAAAAAGAGAAAGACCCTCAATGAGATGGACTGACACAGTGTCTGCAACAATGGGCTCAAGCGTAACGATTGTGAGCATGGCACAGGACGGGGCAGTGTTTCTTTCTGTGATGCACAGGATCACTATGAGTCAGAACCAACTTGATGGCACCTTACAACAACAACAACAACTATCAGGTATGGTTATGAAAAACATGGGAAAATATTCTAACATTGTGGATTATAAAGCAAGTAATTTATATTAAAAAAAAGAAAAACAAGGAAGTGATTACCATAAAATATTGAATTTACTATCTAGGCTCATTTCATTTTGCTAATTACGATAAGCCATATGGATAATAATCTTATATCAACTCCAAATAAAACAAAGAGTAAAATATTTGAGAGAGGAAGTAACATGTGTATTCCTGATTTCCAATTAAACTCCACCTCTGGTGTTTTAATTTATTCTTGCCAAAATAGAGTTTCCTATTTGTGAAGGAAATGGCATATTAGTTTTTTGCAGATAAAAAGCTTACGAAGTGGCAATACAATATTGAGCTAAGAAAGTACAAAACACAGGGCATAAACTTTCCCCAATACAAAATGGGTTGAAAAGGTTCAGTTCATTTTTACCTTATGAAAGAAAATATGTAGCAAGAGATAAACAGTGGAGCCAAGATCTAATCAATAGTCTAGTCAGTGGTAAAAGTCTTCTAAAGGCCTAGCAGTACTAATGGAGACTTGATATACTAGGTTTTGAATATCTAGGTAAAGCTTCAAAAAAACCCCAAAACATAATATAGTAATAATTATCTGTGGTTGTTATTCTTGTTGATTTTATAACTTATTTAGTTGCCCTAGTGACACTATCCTTTATTTTATTGTCTACTGGGCACAGTTTTAAAACATTTCCTTCACTTTGGATATTTGATATAATTACATTTTTCATTAAGTTTAATTTTTTGATCAGATCCATTATGTACTATAATTATGGTCTCCAGAAATAGATCAACAAAGGCAGCAATTTGTCTCTTCATTGGTAGCAAACTGAAATAAGCCTTCTAAAATAAATGTCAAGATCTTCGCCAAATTATCGTGTGAAATCTTCAAGATGGGTTTAATTTGTGCCACTTGATAACAACTTTTTCTGGATTTGTAACTGTCTCTTTCCACTGGTTCACTGCATCAATATTATTACTGTCTTCACTTATCCAAATCTGTAAAGAAACAGTACAGTCATTTAACTTGACAAAATAATAACTAAGCTCAAATAGTTAAGTATCTTATTGATTAAAGATATTTGGGTGTTTGGTTTACATACTTTCAATTAAACATTTTTCAAAAAAATCTATTGAATTTCTCTGTTTGAAACTTAAATGTCACAGTATTTAGCCTGTTTAGTCATTCTGAAGACTAAATGATCCAATTCAATTTAAAAATTTAATGTGAGATATTAAAAAATTATTTTCCACCAAAGAATTAATATACCTTCCTTATTTAATAAATCTAGGAGCTCGACTTAAAACTGATCCCAACCACTCAAAAATATTTTTGTGAAGATTACTGTTTACTAAGTCTAATCATTGGATTGGTAAAGAATGTGTATTTTTAAACATCTTTTTATATTATATATTTCAATATTCATTGGAATCTACAAATAGTCATTGTTGATCTGTAGTAAATAATCTCACAGTACCTATCACATATGTAACTTTAGGTAACATATGTGAATGAACTCTGGAAAACTGTAAAGTATCACACAAATACAAGACATCACAATGGTTACATATCATGGAGGCAAAGTGGACTAGGATTCAGAAGACCTGAATTCTCACCTTGGCTCTAGCACTAACAAATGTTGTTATTTTGGAATTATCTGAGACCTAACTTCTAATTCCTTAAAAAAAAGAGATCAGCACAGGTCATTGGTTTTCAAACATTTTCCCCTTTGTTTCTTGGTCTGAAGCTTTTCTTTAAATAAAATCTTACAAGAAACCTCAATATATAAAACAGATAAAATTAGAGCGCTTTGGTTGATATGGGGGTGGGAGAATTTGATTCCACATTTGGCCACCCCAATATGGTGGTTCCTAAGTCTACCAAAGAAGCTGTAGGAACAGATGATCAACAGGAACCTGTCCAAAGTTAATATTCACACTAGAGCCTCAACTAAGAAAAACAGAATCACTATAAAGACTATCTTGAAAATCATCTCTCAAGTAAATTCCTTATTCCATTGATACATGATAGCTGACACTTGCTGATAAAGAAAAGACCCCATGGCTTTCAAAAGTATGCTAGTTATATAAATTGTTGAGTTCAAACTCTTCCAAATAAGAATAAATGAAGAATAACAAAGCTATAACATTTTAAATAAATATTTTAGGTAAAACATATGAAAAATTGAGTCAAAGAGTTGATATAATCTTTGAAAATTTACATTATAATTTGAGGAGTTCATGTGGACTATTAATAAATCTTACAGCCAAGTGGAAGCTTTTAAACCAATAATATAGATTTTGGAATTTAAATACGGTTCAAACAATTGTGGTTAAGATAAAAGACAACAGACAGCTACACTAATCCACTCGGAGTAAAGAAAGGAAATACAAAAGAAACAAGTATGAGGACTGGCAAGTAAGCAAGTGTTATCTCTTATATAAATTACTAAGAATTTTTAAATAGATTCCTCCAACACCAGCATTGAATATCTAAAAAATATCACAGCCACTTTTAAAGTAGATGTTTTCTAGGCATTTAAATCTAGCATAATCCAACTAATAGCAAATGAACAAACAGTGCCCATGTCAAACATAAATTTATTTAAATACTTAAGTGTTTTGTCCTTCTACAAGCAATTAGTCAGAAGTACTGAAAAAAATAACCTTACATACAGTTTTTAGAGTTGAAAAGCTCAGAAATAGACATATTTTAAGATAGAAAGCCTGATTGCTCATAATGTCCAACTATTTGTATTAAAGCAAAAAGTCCAGCAAGATTTGGTTTTTGTGCCATGTTAAATTTTAACCTATGATGTGGAAGAATTTTATCCTATTCAACTTTAATTACATTCTGTATTTCCTTTGTTAACAAACTGTCTAAATGTCCCGAGAAAAATGCCAGGAAGGAACTCAAGATAAAAACGCACTACTAACCTGGCCCACAAAGTGTTTTCTTCGTACAGAGCTTCGACTATAAAGCTTAATAAGAAAAATAATTTCTTTTTCAGTCTGTATAAGTGGAAAAATCATAGTCTCTCCCCACTTTACTCTTCCATTGGAGGCCTTCAGTAAGCGTGTCTTCTTCTTATAAATCAAATCTCCTGAGCTAAACATTGCCACCTTCACAAAAAAACCTAAAAAACGAGAGATTTTGATGTACAAAATGTTATTTAAGATACCATATAAAGATATGTATCTATATTATACTTACTGTAAATAAACAGGACTGACCTCAAACCTCCAGCTCTAGGGCTGGATGTGAACCAGGCCTAGACAACCAAAGTACCCTTGGCCACAGTGAGTGGGTCATGGTGTGGGTACATGATCTAAGCCATACCAATGAAATTCGATTCTGGGGCATTTGCTGTAAACATGTGTCAATTTTTGACAGAAAGTTGTATCAAAGCCTCCCACAATGATTCTGGATTTATCAATTTCTACTTCTAGCTTTAAAAATTTTTTAATTTACATTCTATTGTTAGATACGTAAAAGTTCAGAGATGCGACAGAATGGATAAGAAAACAGGATCCATCAATATGCTGTCTACAAGAGACACACCTTAGAAACAAAGATGTGATCCTATTAAAAGTCCAAGGTTGGAAAAACATATATCAAGCTAACAACTACCAAAAAACAGCAGGAGTGGCAATACTAATCTCAGATAAAACAGACTTTAAAACTAAATCCACCATAAAAGACGAAGAAGGACACTATATAATGATTAAGGGGACGATCCATCATGAAGACATAACC